TAACTGTAGTCACCATGGTACATAATAGATCTTTTGAACTTACCTTTCCCATTTAATTGAAAATTTGGATCCTTCAATGCTTCACCTTTCATTCTAAAACTTATTATTAACTAAATATTAGAATGTCCATGCTAATTTTTCTTATGCATCGAAGACTCATATTTATACCCCAATGCTGCAAACAGGGAAAAAGACCAGCCCACATCACCCAAGGCTGTTGTATGCTCATTTCCCGAGAAACTGATAGAATATGATACATATTTCTCAGTGATAGTTAAGGGAGGGAGGTATCCATCTTCATTAACTTTCCACATATCTGAAACTAAGACATTTGAATTTAAATGGTTTTGAATAGCTATTTCTAAATTATATAAACTATTTGTCAGCTTTGTCGGGAGGCTGGTGGTCTAATCTCTCAACAGCAGGTAGACATTTTGGATAGTGATTTCACTTTCCTAAAAAATACTTACAATCACTTTGGCTCTTGCAGGCAAGTGTTAAAACACTAGTATTTGTTGGTAACATAATGCTATGTTTTTGGTATTTTTACAATCTGCAAAGTGTTGTCACCCACTTCTTGTCTGCTGGCCATCAAAGTTTCCATCTGCATTTAGTTGAGCTTTCTAATCCATAGGCTGACACAGACATCAGAATTAGTACCCCCTTTGTTCTACTTGTGTTCTGGCCACAATCCTGAGTGTATTTTATTAATCCTCCCAACATCCCAAAACAAGTGGGACCTATTAAATGCTTTCAGGTGAGAATATTGAATCTTCAGTTAATTAATAATGATATTATACTGTTCCACATAAAGATTATATATGACCATTTTAAATATGATTAGGCTCTGATAGAGCACCTGAGAGGGACAGTTTAAAATGTTGCTGAACTTTGTCAAAATCTCTTGGTGATGTGCATGTTTTGGTTTTCTACAGATTATTTGTATGTGTCAGTGTGTGTTCTCAGCTTTCTTGCTGTGGTAAGAGAGCCAGAGGCATGACTACAAGTTGATGTTACGTGTTATAAATTCTTTTTTTTTTAAGTTGGAATTTTTTTTATTTTATCATTTTTTATTTTAATTTTAAATAGCTTGTTTTACATGTCAATCCCAGTTCCCTCTCCCTCCCCTCCTCCCGCACTCCCCTTCCCCCCCTCCCTCTCACCCTATTGCCAAAGCTGTGGATCAGTGTCTATCCCTGGTATACAAACTGTCTTCATGTGCCTATAGCACAAAGAGAGATGCTCTCTCAGCCTGGACTCTTAGGGGAGTGCCTTGACCCTACCAAGAGTAAAATGACAGACTCTAGATATCCCCTATGTTATAAATTCTTAAGCACTTTATATTCACTTTTGGTAAGATGGATTATCTTTTGTTTTGTTTTGTTTTTTTCTCTAAAGTATTTATTACCAGCAAAGGGCAGTTATTGCAGTGTGTCTGACTACTTTTATAGGATTTCTTATTGCTTTGAAGTGATGCGTTATTGAAATAAAATTATCAACCGGTATATTTGCAAATGGAAGAACCTCAATAAGATGTGTGCAGTGGTGAGTGATCCCTCATCTAGTTCTCATACACATATGAATTCTTTTTGGACTCTAGTAAGGAAGACAAAGAGGTGACAATTTAAATATTTATGAATTTCCTTTTATTCGAGTAGCTGTCTTTATAGGGTAAACACTAAGTCACTTTTACTGGAAACCAAAAGCTTTTAAGGTGTTCAGGATGTGTTTTAAAATGATATCTCAGCTATTCACCTTAATTTAAAATTAAATTCCTTTTAGCAGAGGGAATTATTTCTGAGCCGTGTGTTCATCAGGGACACAGGCCCTTAGAGATTAAACACTGGTTTCTCAAGAAGATGACATGAAGAGATGCTCTCTCAGCCTGGACACATGGGGAAGGGCCTAGGTCCTGCCCTGGATGAAATGACAGACTCTGGAGATCCCCCCAAGGAGGCTCTCACCCTCCCTGGGGAGTGATGTGGGGACTGGGTGGGGGGTTGGGGGGAGCTGGTGGAGGGACAAGGGAGGAGGGATGGGAGAGGGAGCTGGGATTGACATGTGAAGCATGCATGTTTATAATTTAAATAAAAACATATATTGAGGGAAAAAAAAGAAAAAAAGAAGACGACATTGCAGTTCTTAATTACAGTTCCGTTTCTTTGGTTCTTTACTCCATTTTCCCATGTCAAGATTGTTCCCTTCTACTTTTATTCATGCATGAGTTCTGTGCTTACATCGTTTCCACCCCACATTTACCTTCCTTCAACTCTTCCCATTCCCCTCTCCCTATCCCCTCTTAACTTCATGGCCTCTTCTTTAATTATCATTGTTGTATAACAGTATGTATGTATAAACACAGCACAATAGGTCCTTTCAGTGTTATCCATCCTTATGTGTGCTTAGGGCTGACCACTTGGGGTTGGAGAACCTATCAGAACCTGTCTCTGGAGAACACAGATTTCTCTCTCTCTCTCTCTCTCTCTCTCTCTCTCTCTCTCTCTCTCTCTCTCTCTCTCTCTCTCTCTCTCTCAGAAGCCATCCCACCAATTGCTGATAGCTCTTCATCTAAGAGTAGGGCTTTGTGAAATTTCTCCTGCCCAGGCTGGGATGTCAGCTGGGGCTGTCATTGTGCAGGCCTTTTAAGAGATCATTTTGTTGAGATTTCATGGGTACAACTGTCTGTAATATATAGATGACAAGCATCTTGTAGCTGACATTCTGGTCCTCTGAATCTTCCTACCCCCTCTTCCGAGATGTTTTCTATGCCTTAGGTGTAGGGCTTGTGTTATAGAAGCAGCAGTTGGGGATGGGACACTCCACAGTTAATTGTTAGCTGCACTGTGATGAGTTGTGGATTTCTATAACAGTTTCTCTGTTACAGGTGAGGGATGAGAGCAAGTGAGATCATGGACCTTAGAGAACCTATGATTGCAGTGTTCCTAAACCAATATAATTCCCAGCTGCTTTCTAAATACCTATCCTTGTAGCCACAGACCATAGTTCTCCTACTGTTACTTTTGTTACCTTCCCTCTTCCTTTAGAATTCTTTCCTATTATATGCTGTAGATTCTGGTTAGACTCTTTTCATAAAACCAACAGTGACCCTGGTAACTTTTTTCTCAAGTCAAGTACCTGTGACCTGTATGGGAACTTAACATAAATGTTTCAGATCCATCTCTGGTAGGATAGATGTTTCATCATGACAGTAACACTCCCATCAAGACCCTTTGTGCAGAGTACAGACCTAGTGAGGAGAACAGCTTTACACACTTGTATCAGTATGTTTGGAAGCAGGCTGAGGAGATGCTTTTGATTTTTAGGGGGAAGTTTCTGACCAAGTGAGGCATTGCTATAACTCAGCAGTGAATAGTAATGACAATAGTAATAATAATAATATGTTTTGAAATAATCTGGATTAAATCTAGATTGAGAATTTGCAAACTGTGTCCTTGAGCTAAATCTGGCCTGGTGCATTTCTGTGCACTGAACTTCATAGCAGCAGCCCCACCTCTATCCAGAGATATAGTCTGTATCTGTTTCTGTATTACAAGGGCAGAAACACAAAATTACAATATATAGACCATGTAGGCTTCAAAGCCTGAAGTACTCTCTCTTTAGTCCTTGACGTGAATACCAAAAAGCTTGCCAACTTCCTTTAGATCATAGCTTCTCAAACTGTGGCTCACGATCCACGTGGGGTGTTATGAAAATTTTGGCGAAAGTTAAATCAAAATCAAACCTGCAATGAACGCTAGGTGTTTCTAACAGCACTTCTCCATGTCACATCACAGAAGTCACTGCAGTTTCGGTTCTGGGCACACTTGTGAACTTTGCACTGTGCTTCTGTGTGTTCATTCCGTACAGAGTCAACAGCGTTGCCTAAAACAGATCGGCTCAGATATTTGACTGTCATATACTGCCAATTGTAGTGCTTTTAGCTATATAAGAATTTGGTCTCTAATTTTAGCTACTGATTTTAGTTTATTATAAATTTATTAAATGAATGTTGACTTGAGACTAAAATAGAATTTCCGACAGCTTCTGAAATGGACCTAAACACACTCCTGCTTCTATGTATTTTATTCAAACTAGTATCCTTGGCATTAAAAATTAAATAAAAATATTGATCAACTCTGAAACACATGGTGTAGGTTAAAACATTGCGATCTGGAATTTCAACCAAGATTCAATTCTTCATGTTAAAAACAACAAGCACACCTGGTTCATATCATGCAAATTTTCTTTAGCCTTTCATAAATGGTAAATTTATATGCACACTAAATTTTATATTTATTTACATCTTTATTTGTGTACGTGTGTGTGTGCGTGTGTGCATGTGTGTGTGTGTATACTCCCAAGAGTGTGTGTGTAGGTGTATTAGCCTGTACTTAACTACAAAAACTGGAAGAGGGCATCTGGTGCCTCCTCTGTCACTCTGCCTTTTAGACAGGGTTTCTCCCAGAACCTGGGGCCAGGCTGGAAATGCCATCAATCCTCCTGTCTCACTGTCTTTAACTTGGAGGTTCAGGCATGCACAAGACACCTGACTTGTTTTGTGGGTGCTTGGATAGAACTCCGGTCCTAATTGTGAAACAAGTCTTAACAGCTAAATTATCTCTCGAATCCCAATGAAATGTTTTAAGATACATTTCTTTATGTTTTATTGTCAGTAGATACTTCATTGATCTAGCTATTTTATAAACCCATATACCCAAAGGTGTATTAAATTTCTTAAGTGAAAAGCAGTTACCATTACAAAATGTTTAATAAGTCCTGCTCTAGATGCTGGGTTTTATGTAAATCTCTGTGTGTGGAAAACAAAAGAAGGCTGGTCAGAATTAGCTAAGGGGACTTTTCAAGGTGCATAACACCCTCTGTGGGTTGAGGGCCGCTAACTTAAAATTCAGGGACTTGACTAACTGATTCATTTTTTTTAACCACCATTTTGACAGTCTAACACAGACAACATGAAATTGATTATGTTGTTTCTTTTACAGGGTTGTGGGAAGAAAATGTATTCCTTTTTGAGAGGAACCAAACAGTTGCAAGTGCTAAGGTTTCTGGGGATCTCCATTGGTGTGACACAAATCCTGGCCATGATTCTCACCATTACTCTGCTCTGGGCTCTGTATTATGATAGAAGGGAGCCTGGGACAGACCAAATGCTGTCTCTGAAGAATGATACTTCTCAGCACCTGTCATGCCACTCTGTGGAACTGTTAAAACCAAGCCTTTCAAGGATCTTTGAGCACACATCAATGGCCAACAGCTTCAATACACACTTTGAGATGGAAGAATTATGAAGAATGTCAAAGAAGGAAATCACAAACCTGTGGCACTCATGAGTTTGGGGGTACACAGTTATCTGTTTCAGGAAGCGTTAAACATAGGGATATTCTGCAAAAGATTTTCTAAGCAGATAATTTCCACTTTCTTTAAAACAAAGAAAAGTTGGTGGCAGGCTTTCTTGAACCGCCAGCCCCGAACCATGACATGGAGATTTACTAGTTATGAAGGCTTGGCCTTATCTTATGCTTGCCCTACTAGCTCTTATACCTTAATTTAACCTGTTTCTCTTCATCTACGTTTTGCCTAGGGGCTTTTTGCCTTTCTTTCAGTCTGTATGTCCTGCTTCTTCTGTGTCTGGCTGGCAGGTGGCTGGCTGGCTGGCTGGCTGACCCCAGGCATCTCCCCCTCTTTCTCCCATGTTCTCTCCCGTCTTCTCTCTCGAGTCTAGATCCCTCCTCTTGTTCTCTCTGTCCACCAGCCATGCTCATCCCTCTTCTGCCTAGCTATTGGCTGTTCAGCTTTTCATTAGACCAATCAGGTGCCTTAGGCAGGCAAAGCACCACATCTGTACACTGTTAAACAAACGCAGCATAAACAAGTGTAACACATCCTACAGGGTTAAAGTAATATTCCACAACAAAGGTTCCACATGTTAACACACAGACAATAATTGGTGCCCTTCAAAATGCTGAGGGTAGTGCTAATAACCACTGTGTATATTTTCCTTTTAGTTTTTTTTTTTAGCACAATGGTATTTTGAGGTGATGCAGTTTGACAATCTTTTCTGTATCCTTTCGTGGAAATGAAGCATTCGTGGTGGTGGCACTGGAGCGACTGTGAAGATTAACTAACTTCCTCTCGCTAGCCTGTAAACTCTCAGCTGACTTATACTGTAGGAATTTAAACAGTTCTAATGATCTTTATTACCTGATGATGTGTTGTTTGAGGATGATTATATACATACATATATATATATATATATATATATATATATAATCCTGTCAAGATTGGTGACTACCTAAATATGGTTTTTGTTGGTTATTAAAATAATCTTATTAACACTTTGGAAGAACTAACACATTGTCTTAAACTTATCAGGGATATGTATGTATATAAGTCTGTGCTGTGTCTGTATAATTCAGTAGTTTTCAGTTCTTATAATGTTATTAATAACGATATTTGAAGATGATGCATTTGTCTTAAATGACACCATTACTTTTTGTATTTCCCACCAACAGAGCTTTTAAATTCTGTCTTGGATCTGTATTTACATCTGTAACTGTTAATTTAAGTTCTTAACCACTAATTTTGGAAATTACTGGTGTGATACATAAGAATCATTGTAACTCTGGCTGCAGGAAGTATTAACTATGGAATTTACACATAGTTGATTCAGCAGAAATTTGGTTGCTTTTTTCTCCCAAGTGAGAATTCTTCTTGGCAATAAACATTCTGTCAAAGAGCTTAGATTTTCCTTTTGCAAAATAGAAGCGACAGTAGTGAAGTCGATGTAATTTTATGGAGAAACAACATTATCTAAAATGATAGATTAACTAGAGGGAATTTTTGCTTTATTTCACCAATTAATATAGTTTGGCAAATTACACAGAATATTAATTTTTTACAGAAGCAGAAGATATTTATTTGAAATGGGAAATGTGCATTTTACTGTATTTTGTGTATTGTGATTATTTCTTGGATTATGGAAAGAAAATTAATACAGGTGTCAATAAATACTTTCTAGAGCATGATGGTTAGTGCGTGTTTATTTTTAAGACAAGGTCTCACTATGTAGCTCTGGAACGTGTTCCCATTTTTGGACACAATAAGCACTTTTATCAGTGCAGAGACTAGCAAGGGGGAGACTAGAACAGGAGGGCAGGGGTGTGGAGAAAACTGCATGGTTGGAACTGATGCAGCCCACAGTCCCAGAACATCTGCCATACCACCACCATCTTCGGGATGCCTGAAGTAGAGAGAGCACTGAGTTGAGTTGAAACACATGCTTGAGGACATCCTCAAGTGAACATCTGAAGACCAGCGACTGTATAAGGAGGAACAGCATGTCTGGATGAGGATATCTTCACATGAGAACACAGCCACAGGCCCCAGTCACAGAGGGCATGGCCTTGTAGGCAAATAACACCTTCAAAGCCCCGTGCCTTAGGACCTTCTGGAGCTTTCTGATGCCTCCAGATGTGATGAAGCTTCAGGACTGTGGAGGCAGCATTATGAGCAAGTTGTACAGGGCAGCCCCAGACTCAGCCACAGATACCCATTCCTTCCTGTAAAAGAAATTCAAGTATTTGTCTGGTGTCTGCCTCTTTGTGTCCTGTGCCATACCAGGCATCAAGGTCCCTAGGATGGGCCCGACTCCATTTCTTTGGAGGCTCTCATTTGTCAAGATGTCTATAGCACTGTCCAGTTTAATACTTGGCACAGATGCCCCTCAAAGCAGCCATGGGGACGTAGGTTGCCCTGAGGGTCAACTATTTGTGTGTTGGACCCCAGTCCCCATGGGATCTCTGTGAGTCACTGGTCAGTCCACAAGTCCATCCTGTTTTCCAGTCTAAGTGCATCCTGTTTTCTAGTCCTGGCTTCCTGCCCTGGCCTTGACCCTCTGACATCAACATCCAGCAGGAGGAAAACACACTCTCTGGGGTTTTTTCACTGTGCTGTAAACCTGTATATAAGACTCCTCCCTCCCTACAAGAGAGAGACCTCTTAGCACTTGCAATAAAGACACACACACACACTCACACACACACAAACACACACACACACTCACACACACACACACACACACACACACACACTCCTGCCAATAAAGGCAGCATATGCATTCTCTTAGTGCAAACAGCTGGACGGCTTGTCTTTCTTTTCCTGATACCTTGGACTTGATTGTGGCACTGGCACCACAATTGGAGTTCCCACCGAGATCCAGAGAGACTTGGAAAGACTGGGAAATATCTGCCAAAAAGAAGACTCTGGAGAGGAGAGACTCAAGAAAGAAAAGTTTTGAAAACAGGAACCTCAACTTCTGACAGTAAAATTGAATGGTCAAATCTCTAAGCTTTTGCCTGAGAGATCACCTTCTAAGGAGAAGGTGTATTGAATTAATCTCCAGCCTTCGCCTGATCCACTGAGGTCAGGAAAGTAAGGGGAACCTGAGAATCACCCTCAGTTGGAGGGTGGATTGAGTAAATCTTCAGGCTTTTGCCTAAGAGATCATCCTATGTTTGAGGATGGATTGAAAATGGGTGAATTGAAAATTGGTAACAGTAAACGAGGTACTGGTATTAAGTGAAAGAAAAGGAAAAGATAAAGTATATGGAATGGAAAATACATGGAGAGTCTGGATACTGTGTGCTGTTGTGTTGTCTTTAAACTGCTTAGTTGCTCAAAAGGAACAAAAACTGCTAAAAGACATTTGATTATCAATGCTGCTGAATCAATTCAACTTATATATTTTGAAAATGCTTTGACTTCTAAATTTAAATATAAGGACAGGTTACTTGGGAAAAGAACTTTTGCTTTTGTTTCTACAGAAAATAAAAAGCTGTGGATTCCTCCCAGACTAGTATGGTTTGATGAAGCAAGACCACCTGAAGCAGTGGCCCAGGTGATCCAACATCTAAAACAGCTGAGATGATGCAGCCTTGCAGACCACAAAAACAAGGACTTCAACAGGTCTCTGTTTTTTTGTCATGATCCCCCTTTTATTTCAGCACCCCTTAACAGTAGGAAATAGTTTAGAAAGAGCAATGCCCACATTCCCAAATATTGTTTATAAATGTTTGTTTGCATTTAATGCCAATTTTGTCACCTGAGATAGGTGCTAATTTATATATAAAGAAGGGGGGAGATGTTGGGCCCCAGCCCCCATGGGGTCTCTGTGAGTCACTGGTCAGTCAACAAGTCCATCCTGTTTTCTAGTCCTGGCTTCCTGCCCTGGCCTTGACCCTCTGACATCAACATCCAGCAGGAGGAAAACACACTCTCTGGGGTTTTTTCACTGTGCTGTAAACCTGTATATAAGGCTTCTCCCTCCCTACAAGAGAGAGACCTCTTTTCATTTGCAATAAAGACACACATACACAATATCTCTCCTGGCAATAAAGGCAGCACATGCATTCTCTTAGTACAAACAGCTGGATGTCTTGTCTTTCTTTTCCTGATACCTTGGACTTGATTGTGGCATGGGCGCCGCATTTGTGCTCACTAGATAGCTACAGAAAGAAGAGAGGGCTGAAAAGCAAGCCTTGGGTCATTTGTTTTGTTTCAAGTCTTCAGAGTTAAGGGCTAAAGGCCAGTAGCAGAACAGGTTTTGTGAGGTCTCATATGACCAGGGTCAAAGATAGGTCTTCTATTTTTTTTTTTGCATAATAAGGGTGGGGGTTGGGTGTGTTGCAGAGTATACAGACCTCTCTTTCAAATGATTGGATACAATGTTACTAATTTTCAAACTCAGTAACGAATATGTAAACTACATCTTCACTAAAAAGAGGTTGTCTTTATTTTTTCAAGCTCATATTTTAGCTAAGTGAAATAATGTCATTTGATATAATAAATATGGTAGCTTCTGTTAGCTTATCTTAGTGCTTTCCTATTGAAGATTTCGTTGTTGTTGTTGTTGTTGTTAATTTGTAAAAAGAAAAAGAGTTGTCCAATTGCTACATGCCTGTAATCTCAACTCCTTGGAGGGCAGAAGACCGCTTAACCCCTGAAACCCCTGAGTTCAAGGCTAATCTTGCCAATAAAGAGAGACACTTGTTCTTTAGAGGTAACGAGAGGAAGAGAGAAACAGAATATGAAGGTATATAGGATGAAACCTCGATAAATCACTTCCTCAGATCACTTATGATACCCCAAAATTTTAACAAAGCTATGCATTTCACTTGAATTATTTAGATAGCTGTTAAGTCTGGTTGCATCTTTTTTGATGTATTTCACAGTCATATGACATGCTTATATTATATTGAGCTTAGGGGGAAAACACCAGTCTTCAAATTATAGGAATTGACTTTTTAAAACAGGTATTTGATTTATTACCCGATTTAGTACCCTCTAGAATAGTCACCATAAATTTAGACAATCATCTTCTATATAACACATTTGCTTAATGGGAACAAATGACATTTATAGCTGTGGTCCACAAAGGCCTCTTATGGTAGCAGTGCACCTGGAATAATAAAACTGCAAGGAACTTTACAAAGTGCATTTAATACTGTAGAGCTGAGGGACTTCTCTGTTTGGGTACAGTGGGGAAAAACTGTTAACTGTGTTTTTGGGAACTTTTAAAAGCTTTTTTTTGGGTAAAATCACAAGTTTTAAAGCAAAAAAATTTAAGAGATTATTTTTAGATTGGTTAACAGGCAATTCAAAGCACTCCTGAGACTCTGAGAAGGCAATTGCAACAATAATTTGTATAAAGCATAAAAAACCTGGGTTAGAGATACTTGTCATAACCCCAGGAAAGGTAAATAAAGGAGAACCCAGTGAGGGAGGTCATCCTGAGCCAGGAGAGGAGGAAAGTGGGATGGAAGCAGTTCCACCAGACAAATGGTCCTCAAGCAAGCAGAGATGAGAAGGAGGAGTAGAACTTACCCTTCTCATCGCAACATTCCCCGAGTCAAGGCTCTGAGATTTAAATAACTGCACATGATTTTAAGGCTATGCCCTGGAGTTCAGTGCCACTGGAACAGCTCAGAATGCTGGAATGAACGCCCGGGGAAAGGAAGTAGGTGAAACGTGGAATAGTAAGCTGCTGACGCGTTTTCAGAAAAGGAAATGCATGACTCAGAACTTCCGCTGTTTTATCCGAGCAAGAGGGAAAGGGCGCGGGGCATGGGGGGGGGGTAGAACAGGTGCAGCCATCCTACCAGTCCCTGGGGACAAGGCAGGCTTGGGTCTGCTGAAATAGAGATCTCTGGAGCTTCAGCTAGCTCTGCAGACTCTGGGGGATGAGCAGAAGGACTTTTTCTCTGGGCTTGTGGAGACGAGAGAGACAAAGATCCTCACCAGGAAAATGGAAGTCAAGCAACAGAGTGCATAAAACAGACTCAACTTCTACACTGTGAATCTGCAAGTCAGCAGCAGGTTGACATTAGGGTTAAGGGATAGAAATTAAAGAACCAACATTTCTAGATTTTGTACACGGTAAGTTGGCAGTGGTGTTAACTTAGATAGAAGGTTGGAGACCGACAGTGTGGAAGGGTAATTAATTTGGTTTGGGATGTACTGAGCTGGAGATGCCTGCAGGACATGCAGATGGAGAAGTCTATGGGCAGCTGTAAATTCCAGTCGGCCACTGAGGAGGACTCACTGTGGAGCCTGAGAATTTTTATGCCTTGCTTTCCCATTTCAGGAAGCCTGACAGAAAACGGGCTGAGGACCAAATCTCATGGAGAGAATCTTAAGCAGGGTGCTACAACAGCTTCTCTTTGTCTGACCTTCTATTCCTACAGATGTATCAAAAGAGGTAAAGAAACAAGAAATAAATAAGCTACTGAGTCTTCAATGACAAAGGAGCTCGCCTTCCTTAAAAAATATACTGCCAACTGCCATGCTGCTCCAGTCGCCCATGCTCGTTCATTTATGTGAGCTTGTGATTTAAAAGCGCCTTTTCCTTTCCTAAATGCAGGGTACATACCCAAGCAAATCTCAGAAGCACATATAGAAGAATCTCAAACATCACCTCAAATGCTCTCCTATTTGGCATTTTAGTATGGCAATGGCAGGCTTCTGTGTATTCATTCATGGGAGCCTCAAAGTGGCAAGCCCAGCCTGCAAGGTTCCAGACACATTTCTTCGGTTCACCATGGCTATTTTTCACTTGTATGCATCATTTTGCAAACAAAGAAGAGCAACGTAGACTACTGATGTAGTAAACACCAGTGCGGCCTCTGATTCCCTGCTCTCCACGTTGTGACACAGCGTCTTTATTACCTGTGTCCAGGTTCAACTTTTTCCTCCAGTGAGAAAGCCAGATTCTCCTTCATGCCATTCAGTATCTTCAGGCACAACTGTCCTTCAATGTCTTCCTTCAGAGTGGCCCCTTTATCCATCTAATTTCATCCCTCCTACTTATCCAGAATAAGTCTAAATCATAGTTTTGATTGATAGCATGCATTTCTATATCTCTCTTCTCTCTGCCACTCTATTACTAGTCTAGCTTATAAACACAAGTGCATCCAAGTTAATTTCTTAGTCTATCGACGTGTCTATAATATGGTGTAGTCTTAGTATATATAATATGCAAACACTTATGTAACCATAACCACAGTCAAGAGGTAGGGCATTAGTATTGTCTCAGAAATGGCTTCTTTCTTGCAATCTTGTAAATCCTATTCCTAGCCTCAGTCAGCATGGTTTTGACCAATGGCATTAACCCAGAAGGTCCCTGTTTTCTAGAAGACAGAACTATCTACCTCAGTAGCATATATATCATTTATAACTCACTTTGTGATAAATGAAGGTCAGAGGACATTAGCTATCCTAAGACTTGTCTGCTTAACACCACAGTTATAAGAAAGCAATGGCTCAATCCATGAACTAGTGTCTCATGTTCAAAAATACTAACGGGCTAAACAACATAGAAGAGCAGTTGCACTTTAGGAAGCACATGTGTGAATAGTAGCTCCAAGTCTGTCAGCCTGATGGTGTTGTTATTCTCTTCTCTTGTGCTAGCTCTCCTACCTTACTCACATACCAGGACGTGCACATCACCTCCACTCTTACAGCCATGCATAAGGAAGGGATGCTGGTAAACACATTTCATCCTGGACACCCATTGATGCAGCTAACTGGGAAACTGTATGATCATTCTTCAGCACCTATAGAATACAGCCTTCCATTTGGAACTGTTTTTCTAAATGAATACCATAACACTTTCTTATGCAGCCTGGACAGTCATGATCAATTCAGAGTCTGTTACACACCATGTGTCCCAGGTCTTCTTGAATTTGGTCACATCATGGACTTCCCTAACATATTTTATCTTTACCTGTATGTCTCAGACAAGCAATTAATTCTTCGATGAAATGTCTTTTTCCAAGCTCTCTCTTAGTCCCATCTAAATTGGTGTTCTGTATTTATTATGCTATTCTGCTTATGTATTTTTAAGTATTTTTCTGATTTCTGTTTACAAACATTTTGTTTTTTATTATTTCTACTAAGTATGTGCATATGTAAGTCCAGGTGATACTTACAATATTTTATTTGTAAATTTATTTATCATATGTATAAATTAATATACACATAAACAATGAACACCATAAGTAAATTCTAAAATCTTTGCTCATGACAGCCCACAGTAAAGGAGGCCATTTACTTTCCCTGACTTAGACAGAGAACTCAGGGTTATCAAGGGCTAAGCAGTCATTTAGCTACAAATGGATATAGATTGGATCTGTAGAATACGTTTAGGATTCAGTGACGTCTTATAAAAGTTCGAGTGGACTCTCAAATTGTACTTGTGGTCTAATCATATAATAGTGCCTTAGATTTATAAAATGCTTTTATGCCTAACCTTGGATCACTCAACTTTCAATATACATTTATTTCCTTGGTCATGTGTAGGGTAAAAAGCTGAGTATACATCACTGAAGAGCAAGAGGCTGAAGCCAGTAATTTCTAATTGCAGTTTCTATGCTACTTTAGAAAGGGACTTGAAAAAAAATGAGGCAACAGAAAGTGCTTGTGCGTGTGTAGCAAACAGCACACAAGTGCTTTCTCAAAGTCCCCACTGAGCTCCAATTTGTCAACCAGATAAGATGTTGAAGAATATTGGCAGGTAAATAATACATGCACTTAATCAGATTTGCTTAACTCCAAGGCCCACACTCTTAACTACTTTTTGAAAGAGCTACTTTGCTAACAGACTTACAAAATCATTTCTTATGGTTGTGACATAATGTTAAATCAGCATGTTGCATCATGTAGATGCTATTCTTTATGAATTCTGTAACATATTCAAAGTTAATACTAGTTCATTTTGTTGAGTGAATATATGTATCCTTGGTACATATTGTACCATCAGCTTATTGTATGTCAGTGTATTTACTTTAATCTAAGAATTTTGAATGTGTATATCCTATCTTTAACCTCTATCAGCATTAGAAGTGAGAAAACAGGACATTCTCTTCCAGTTAAGACAGAATGATAGGAGCCAGGGACCAGATTTAACTTCCTACCTGACATAAATAATTTAAAAATTTGTGCCCAAATATTTTAAACTAATTATATTTGACATTGTCCATCAGGTAATAAAAGAACAGGGTCAGTATAAAATGGGTAAAAATGAGTTTAGCACTGTGATTCCCCAGTGCACCGCTTTGAGGGGGCCTTCAGGATGTAGGAAAGAGAAAGAGAAGCCAAATACAGCCTAGAGGATGCCATAAATGCAAGAGGAAAACTGAGAGTTCAGGCACACCAACGTGATACAATTTGGAAGGCCAAGGAACTAAGTGGAAAGAGGTGTAAACAGTCACACTGGGAGGATGAATGTCTCATCTGATTATTCAGTACGATGCGGCTGACATTAGAGGATCTGGATAAATTCTCCTCATGCCTACAGAAGACTGGAAAATCTCATTGTTCATAGAGCGTCATGAGGAGCACTCAGGACAGTGCCACCTCAGGTCCTGGGCCAAAGCAAACCTTAAAATAAACACAGCTCTTTCAACACCAATGAGTCACCAAGAAAAGACCCTGAATCATAACACTGCTTCTATGTGGCTTAACTGCACCCTGGAAGAATCTTAATATTTATAGAAAGACCTATATATTCAATGTTAAAAAAAGACCTTCACAGTGTTAGACATCCAGTAACGATTATCAAGGCATGCCTTGAAAAGCTATGAAAATAGGATCCATAATGAAAAGAAAATATCAACAGAAACAGACATAGACTGTCACTTATGCTATAACTAGTGAAAAAAAAAAGTAGAGACCGTGACTATGGAAGCATTCACACATTCAAAAATTTACGAAATAAAGAAGATATGTGATTGAAAGGCTCAAATCAAGCTTACAAATGGAAAAAAAGAAACAGGGAAGATATTCTGAATAGAATTGACATTAAATTCCTCATCATAAAAGAACAAATTAACAAATGCCAAAACATAGAAATATAAATAATAAAAAGAAAGAGAGAAGGTAAAATCATTAAAAAGCAATCAAGGTTTACAAACTTCAAGTAACCTAATGTGTATGTAACTGGATCCTCAAGGAAGAGAGCAAGATTGGAATGAATGTTAGATGAGTTTCCAAATTTTGTTTCATTTTATTTTTTTGTAAAATTACCTAATTTGACTGAACTCAATGATTAAGAACATCACACAGATAGATTAACGTAGCTGTCAAGTGATCATTTGTCCAGCCCCAAGCTCCATACATTACCATTCTGAACTCCAGAATTTTACTTAGGATTTGATATTTTTACTATCAGTTCTATTTTCTGCATTTTTCAACACAGAAAAAGAAATGTTCCCATTTTCTAGCTTTCAAACTAGAGAGCCAATTAGCTTTATTTCTTTCATGACTAAATTTGATTGTCAAAAGATATAAGAATCTAAGAGGATCCCAAGAAATAAAAAATACAATGTCACCAAGGAAAAATATGATCAATTTCTCTAACTCAGTCATAGATAAAAGCATTTTATTAAAGCCAGAGGGAAAAAAATCCCATATGCTTAATCTAAGGAAAACAACTTC